TATAATCACACCTTGATAATTATTGTTGTTGATGCCCATGTTTTAAGTAGGCTGCAATTGCATTGGGCTACAGCTGTCTGTAAGTATAACGAAATTTAAATGGCAATCAACAATAATTGGAATTTTTTATTTATGATTTTTGGTTATTACTTAAATCTTTGATTTTGTTGTTGTTGTTTTGTTTTGTTTTTGTTTTTTTTTTTAATATTGAACTCGTTGTGATTGGAAATTTGAACAACTTTCACTTCATTTTGTCGACTATAATTGACAAAGACCAAAGAAAAGCTGCCGCCAGATATAAACAATGTTTTGGATTTGAATCGAAAACCCAACGAAATTTGAGGCGAATTAATTAGTTACGAATGCATCGAGCGAAGGGGCGCCGATAACTTCTTTCCTGCTGGTGAATGCCTATAAAAATCAAATTTAAATAAATTAAAAATTTACCTACGCCTAAAGAGTTTGCAAAACCCACTCGACGGGTCTCTGTTGCCCTCACTCTCTATGTCTGTCTCGCTCTCTCGCTCTGGAATCCCCTTTCTCTCTATATGTATATATGCACACTTCTATTTATCTCTCTGTACCTCTGGCCATCTTTTTCCAGTTTAATAGCGCTGTAAAAATATTTTAATTATAAATTATTCAAATCTCGTTTTTTTATGGCGTCCACTTACGTTGCCCAGCTAGTTAGCCGTGGATGGCTAGAGGCTTTTAGTTCGGTAACAACGAGAGCTGCAACTAAAAATAAAGCCCACTCTTGGCTAACATGAGCATAAAATGGTAATGGCAAACAACTATCAATAGTCTGATATGCCACGAAGTCAAGTCAAGTGTTGACTGAGGTAATATAAAATATTTTAAACTCATATTCATAGAGATAGCCGCTCGCTATAATTTTTCATATAACCTAAGCGAGCGGCCTTACCTTATTTGCTGCATATTAGTACAAATAGGATATGTATTATTATAATATTAATTCAAAGAAATTTCAACAGTGTTTTACGTTCTGCACAAGGTAACGCAACCAAATATAAAAGTTGTCAAATAAAAATAATCGAAGCTCTTAAATAAAAATCGAGAATTTTAATTATTAAAAACAAAAAACACTTGAATAATAAATTTATGTATTTTAACAATTTATGAATCTTCACAAATCTTCTTTGTGCAAAACATAAAAACATAAAATTATGTTATAGGTGCAAGAAGAAGCCACGTGCGGCAAAAATAGCCGAAGAATATTCGGAGAATCTTTTGTTAGTTAGTGAATGAGTTTTTAGATAAGATGTCATATGATATGCATATGAAAACACATTCTAATGTTCTTGATTGTGGTGAACGGGAGCCAGACAGGCATTCGAAAAATATTATATAAACTAATTATTATATAAAAGTGAAACAATAAATCTTTATAGTAGCTATAGACAATTAAATAATAATAATATAGATTTTTTTTTTAATTTTTTAAAAATTAGCTCAATAGCTCCTAGCATATTTCAATCAATTTCAATTCAATTTCAAAAGCTGAATCTAGGGTTTAGTTTACTAGTAACTAACTCAACTAAGCTCATCATCGGGATCAAAAATATAAATACCAGTCAGGTCTTTACAAAAACCATTATACTATCATACCAATTTGATATTTTTAATGGGGTTCAGGGTATACAAATATTTACCTTATAACCCACTTAGGCTGAGCTCAGGTAATACAATCAGTGTCAACTTCTTTCTATACATGTAAACAAGCATATATATGACATATTTGTATAATAGCCCTATAAGCGCACACATATATAAAAGTAGTACATATATCAGATTGCTTTGACGTTACTGGGCCCCCGAAAAACTTATGCAACATTTCTAGCGACAGCAACAGCAGCAACAACAACAACAACAACGACAACAGTAGCAATAACAAAAGATCTTGACATACTAGCAAAAAGTTTCTCACATTAGAAAAACAACAACAACAACAGTAATAGCAGCCGCAGCAGCGCACAGTCTATGAGAAAAATCACACATTATCTTTTTGGAAAAATCAATAAATCAGAGCCGCAACCAGCAAAGCAGTTTTTGAACAAAGCCTTCGAAAAACAACAGAGGTCGTTTAGAGTACGCCAATCTGGCAGCCAACATCTTAAATATTTCGCCATGAAAAATTGCACAAATATCATTGAAAGATGCTCCGCAGGCCGCTGCCCCCCGCACCCCACTTCCCCAAGCGCCATAAGCTGTTTCATTTCAGCTGCACAAGTAAAATGTCAAATATGCAATAAGAGACAACAACAAAAACAACAAGAAAGAACATTGATCTGCCGAAAAACGAAGTTTGAATACCCTAACTTGAATATTTATTATTCTAATATATACTATA